AAGCGGGAGTCGGGTAATTGCCATTTGCTGACTACTTTTGCCGAGACCGTCGTGCTGCCGTTCGGCACGCCGGCGGACGGTGAAGGGTTGTCGCGATGATCTGTGGTGGATGATCTCGGAAGAGTCGGAACGCGGATGCGGTGGGAGGAGTAGGGGAGGGGGATCTCAGGGGATGCTCCACTGAATGTGTGCAGTTGGGGATGGGATCGTCAGGTACGGTGTTGGGGAGGGAGGATCATGAGTCGATGAGGTTTTGGCAACATGATGGCAACTTCAAGGTAGACGGGTGGGTGCTACGGGTATCAATTTCGAGTACATCGCAGTATCACCGGTATTTGTTCCACCCATTGTCCATTTCATAATCTCCATCATCACCATAGTCCTCATCTCCTTCCTCTTCTTCCTCGTCATCCTCATAGTCATCCTCCTGCTGCTGTTCCCTCTCGCGATCGTCAAAGTCCGGCCTCGTGATGTAGCCTGCAATGCGGTCCTCGCGCCTTGCTTTATTCACTTCCTCCGTGACATCCTCATCGACACGACCCTGATGATCAGAGTATGTATACGTCGCATCATTGTAACCACCATCCATCGCAACGACGTGCCCACCGCCACCAGCATGGCGGTATGCAACGGCGGCTTCGCGAGGGCCGCTGAGGTATTCTTCGTCGGGTGGATTGTCGGATACCTTGAAGCCATTTTCTTCAAGACGCTCCTTCCATTCGTCCAGGTCCCTGCCTCCAGAGTCGATAGGGGGCGGACTGTATTCGTTGGGAAGTCCTGAGGCGTAAGACTCGCCCATGTCGGTGCAGTTTACGCTGGAGCCACTTGGGTTGAAGATGTTGGTGGGCTTTTCCGTGTCTTCCTCTTCGTCATAGTCGACTTCTTCGTCGTCGTCGTCGAGGGCATCTTCAACATCGCTCGCATCCTCCTCGCGGTCAGAGTCTTGATCGCTATTGGCTTCTTCACCCTCGTTGTCATATTCGTTGTTGGTGGCCTCTTCGTCGTCGTCGCTAGAACTCTCAGCGCTGCTAGCCTCTTCATCGTCGCTGGAAATCTCAGCACTGCCGGCATCATCATCGCCGCCAGATGCTTCGTCGTCGCCAGCTGCTTCAACGTCACTGTTGTCGTCATCGCTAAAGGCCACTTGATTGTCGCTGGCGTCTCTATCGTACGGCTTGAGAGCGTGGCGTCTCATCTTCTCCACATCGTGGTAGGTTGGGTTACGAGGCATGTCGTGTATTTCGTATACGAATTCAAGCTTGATACCCGAAAATGTAATTGTAGGAATGAGTATTGATGAAGTGACTGGGTGAGAGCGCCGGTCTTTATGCCTTCCAAGGCCGGATTATGATTTCAGCCTTGGCCCTTCAGCCTTGAGCCTTCGGGTTCCGATACAGCAACTGCGGCACGCCGTTCGGCTTCGATGGCGCAAGGCAGACACGGCTGAGGTCCTTGGACAGTAAACAGGTTTGATCAAGCGACATCACAGCCTTCCTGTCGATCACTGAGATGTAAAGCCATGTATGGCGGTGGCTGAACAGCGCCACCAGGCCGAGCCTTCCATCATGTCACTTCATGATGTAATTAGGCGATTCCATGCATGAAGGCTTCGGAGCAAGCGCAATAGCTTTCACTTTTGAGTATGAGGTAAAGACCCTACGTACCATCAGATACGCTGAACCACCTCGTATAGAGAAAAAGCTAGACAGGTGCCTTGCTCTCTGTATTAGTATAAAAGTTCAAGTTCACATATTCCCTCAGGTAATGTAGACTTGTCGAAGGTAAATGCTCAGTTCTTTCCTTGTATAAGGTAGAGCCATGCTATACTATGACAACGCTGAATGCCCTTCGCGCAGAAAAATGCAATACAAGAACCACCACAGAATAAAGCCAAAGCTATGTACAACCAGAAGAATTCCACCGAGAACGACAACGAACAACGCCATGCTCGCTCATGCCTCATACCATATGCGAATTAACACCCAAACACCGCATCCATTACCAACACATCCAACCACGTAAACCCACCATCCTACGGCGTATCAATAAGATCCTCCAAGAACTCATCGAGTTCGATAATCGTAAACTGCTCCGCCCACTTGGCCCTAAACTGCCTCCTCCTATACCCTCCATTGATCTGCTGACCCCAACTGATCAATTCAACCTTCCACCCCTTCTTCAACGCGCGCTCCACATGCGCGAGAAACCCATCCGACATCTCCGCCACGGCACCGTCACCCGTCGCGAGAACCATAGTGCTAGGTACTTCGGTATCAATAATGCTCTGGCACATCTTCAAGTGAAGAATCTCGTCGACACCTTGCTCGACCCATTTCGGGGCCGAGGGCGTCTTCGGAGTAACAGCAGATGGACCCGTTTCAGAGTCGCTGCCGCTGCCGGAAGAGCGTATTTGAGTAGCCTTGTGCCAGCCCATCTTCTTGACGTCGTTGAAGAATTTCTTCTTCTCAGAGTCTTCGCGTACGATCAGCACTTGCTCTTGCATGACGCTGTCGTAGCCGACGGCTTTGGATGTCTCGACGAGTTTGGCCACGTGGGGAAGGGGGTTGGCTTCGCGGTGGGAGCCGGCGAAGAAGCGCTTTGCTACCGGTCGGCGGCGCTCCATCAGTAGCGCTAGACTGTCAAAGGACATGTCGTATGCGTTGTGGTGCAGGCCGTGGTAGCGGAGCATGTCTTTGAGGCCTATCATGATGTTGGAGGCATCGACGAAGACGTGCAATCCATGCGCTGAGTTGCGCTCGTTAAGCATTTGCATAGGGGCCACCAGCCACTTTCGATCATCAGGGAAAGTCTCCATCAACTTGTTGAACAAGTGATAATGACGCTCTACCTGTGATCTAATCGTGAGAGCTGGTCGCTGTCCGCTGAACGACTTACGATGAGGCGTTGGGGTGGTAGGTGGTTGTTGAGCGACGGCTGGTTGAGAACAGGTTCTTGGTACGGTGACCGGTCGAACAGTTCGGGGAACAAGTCCATGGTGCACCGGTGTGGTAGCACGAGGCGCTTGCTGAGGTTCGAGTAGAAGGTTCTGAGACGAGGCAGGTGCGAGTGCATCGAATGTTATATTTTGGGTCTGAGTCGGGGCCGGTGCAGTCGAAGGAACGACTACAGGGACTTCTTGAGGAGGCTGAGGAGTCACAGGTTGTGCCGCAGAAGGCCGCTTGAGGATGCTGGGGCGGGTCTTGGGTGTCCTGGGCTGCTTCTGTTGTGTCTGAGGAGCCTCGGTAGCGTCTTGTGCAGGTACCGGAGTAGGGGTCGCAGGCCTGATCTTAGCGCCCACGTTGGATCGTGAATGTGCTCGGGACGGCTTGGTTGGCGTTTCCGCCACCTTGACATCTTTGGTAGTTATACTGGCGATTTCATCTAGTTGTTTCCGCAGTAACACCTGCTGTGCCTGTTGCTGCCTTTGCTCGCGTTCTTCCGCAAGCTGGGCCAAGGTGTCCTGAACAGCTTGTTGACGGCACCGCTCCTCTTCGAGCTCCTTCTCAGCGCGTCTGCGAGCCTTCTTCCGTTGGGTCTTAGTCAGACCTGTGTTGTCTATCGCCTGCTCGTCTGAGCTCTCGTTAAGCTTGGCAGGTGTCCTGGTTGATGCGAGGACAGGGGAAGGTAATAAAGCGTCATCGGAATTGCTGAGTTCGGACTCGGGATCGAGTGGCGGCAGCGGTGCGGAGGCGGTATCAGCGAACCCTAGGTTTTCGAACAGCTTCGAAAAGCTGCCTAGACGTATTCCTCCATCTTTCAGTGTAGAAGCCTGAGGTGTCGCCACCGACCGAAGCGGAGGGGAGCTAATCTCTTGGGTGCCCGAATCTATCAGGCCGATGGCGGTGCTGAAGTCCCAGCCGGAGTCGAGCGGTTGTGAAGGCATTTGATCGTTGTAGGCTTGCGAATCGGCGTATTGATTTGGTGTATGCTTGTCCTAAGGAATTGGTGCTAATGCGTAGAAGACACTGGAGTCGTCAGTAAGGTGAACGATGAACCATGGTAAGCGGTCCCGAGGCTACAGCTCGCGCGTATTGAAGCCTTCACAGCCTTCACAGTCTGGATATATACTGCGCCGCCTGTACCGCAATAAGTGTCAAACATACCGTGTAACTGATCTCGAAACAATCGTCTTAGTCGCACGCTCATGGTCTATCGCGACGGGTTCAATGGAAAGAGTGTCTTCAGACCGAGTCGGAATCCACAGACACGAGTGAAAGGAAAGAAATGAGCAGTGTCAAAGAATGAGTCTTGCGCGAGGGTAAATGTAAGTGAGTGAGTCTGGGTGGCGGCGGGGTGAGGGAGATCGGCAGGTAGTCAGGCGTGTCTCAGCCTCATATGGTCAGTGCTCCATGATTCATTCGGGTCGGGTCGCGAGGCCAACGCGGTGGCGAATGACACACACGAGATGCATGCCATTGGGTTTTCTCTGCGCCCACCTCGACTGGGCTTCGAGCCAGTCTTTACGTCGAGCTAGATTCTCTGAAAATTGCAGCATCGCAGCCCGATACTTCACACGCATTGCTTGTTCGAGATATTGTCGGTGGTCCGACAGCGTCAAGCGTCCCGAACGAGACGAGCTGGATCGTCGCACAAGTAAACATGGTCTGGCATGCTTCGCTGCAGGGTGCTTCTAGCCTAGCTTCTAGTCACATATTCACATGTACTTTGGACAAAGTCTGGATTTACTTAGCCTGTGATCTTGCCGTAAGATCTGACGCCTGTATGACAGTACGTGCGACGAACAATACAGTGAACATACCTACCAAGACGACAGTGAACTGCAACACAGCCGCCGTGTATTGATGCCGACCATCATACCCATCTCCAATATGCACAATCAGCATCCTCACAGTCAACGTTTACAAGCATTCCATTGAGCCTCGGCACAACCCTCGCGTCCCTTGCCCCACAACCCGCAGCATGTACCTCCAGCAACCCTTCCCCAAGTACCCCTCCCTTCACCTCCCCCTCTCAAAACGCCTCTCCCTCCCCAAAAAGCCATGTCAGCAGATTTCTGGGCAGGTTATGTATCCGGCGCAGCAGGAATAATAATCGGCAACCCCCTCGACCTGATAAAAACGCGTCTCCAAGCCGGTCCCTCGTCCCAAAATGTCGACGCTACATCTCCAGCTACTACGGGCGCGACGGTAGCAACACCACGGGGGTTCAAAGGACAATTTGAGAATGCGGGGACACTCGTAAGAGGTGAGCAAGCAAATAGACACTCGAAACGGTATAAATGAAAGTGGGATACGATTGACTGACTCAACTCCTCCAGTACAGGCGCAACAGCACCCATCCTAACCTACGGCGCCCTCAACGCCCTCTTATTCATGACCTACAACCGCACCCTCACCCTCCTCCACGACTCCCCCGCGTCGCCTACAAACTACTCGAAAGTCTTCTTAGCAGGCGCAACAGGCGGCCTCGCATCCTTCATCGTCAGCGCACCAACCGAACTCGTGAAATGCCGCGCGCAGGTAGCGACCAACGCGACGACGACTAGTCGGAGTGTCGCGAGAGATGTTTGGAAGGCAGAGGGGATCAGGGGTTTGTACTATGGAGGCGGGATTACGAGTGTGAGGGATGCGGTGGGGTATGGGTTTTAGTGAGTTGTCCGCCTGGCCGGCATTGGGAGAAAGAACCACGATGGCGGAGGACCTTGACTGACCCTCTATACAGCTTCTGGTCCTACGAACTCTCCAAACAGGCCTGGTCCTCGCCAGACGACTCCGATCGCGAAACAGCCATGAAGGTGTTGTTGTGTGGTGGTCTTGCTGGAGTCATAACATGGGCGTCGATATTTCCGCTGGATGTTATCAAGACGAGGGTGCAGACGCAGATACTGCATGCGCCGATGCGGGATGGGGAGGGAAGTGCGCTGCTAGGGTCAGAGACACCCAGAGCACGATTGAGCGCTATCGAGGTTGCCAGGCATGCGTACAAGACAGAAGGTGCGGGCGTCTTCTTCCGTGGCTTGGGCATATGTAGCATACGGGCATTCGTGGTGAACGCCGTACAATGGGCTGTCTACGAGTGGATGATGAAATTGCTGCAGCAATAACACATCATATCAATCATCACGAAAACGTATAGACCATGACAAAGAAGAGCTTGAAACCGCTAGGTTACTATTCGATCTCCTCATTACATTTCGAAAGCTAGCCCTTTTGTCGACAAGGAAATTTTGGTCCACTACAGACATGCCCGTGATCAAGACCCGTAACATAATCTCTCCAAAGCTCCGTCATGTGTATACATGTGAAATGAGAGAGAAAAAGGTGTTCCTAACATGACAATGCTCATAACCAGAGCAGATGGGAACCCGTATGCATCAGCATCTGATGCTTGCGCGTCGAAGAAATACCGCAAAGCAAGGATCACTTTACATGATCTGATCCTGGGTCAAACCACCAGTGTTCTCGGTACCCTCCATGGCATCGCCGCCGTTGCCCATGTTGGTGTACTTGACGTAGGCGAGACCCAATGGCCTGCCACCGTACTGGTATCCAGTGAACTTGGCTACGTATTGTTAGTGACAGGACTCAAGGTGCATGAACAAACTTACCGATAGATGTCTCGGCATCTCCAGCCTGGGCGAACTCAACGACACCGGTTCCGCGAGAGCGACCGTTGGGCTCATACTGAATCTCGGCACGCTCGACCTTGCCAATCGTGGTGAAGAGCTCGACAAGATCCTCGTTGCTAGTCGACCAAGGGAGGTTGCGAACGTAGATGGTGTTGCTGGGCTCTCCGCCTGCAGTAGCGTAGTCTGTGAATGGGTTGGGTGCGGCAGGAGCAGCGTTGGGGTCGAAAGCAGGGCCACCAGGGGGACCGCCGAAGCCACCTCCACCAGCGTAGCCTCCACGGCCTCCAAAGCCACCACCAAATCCGCCACGGCCACCGAAGCCTCCACGGCCGCCAAAGCCTCCGCCAAAGGCACCGCGTCCGCCGAATCCACCACCGCGACCACCAAAGCCACCAGGAGCGCCAGCGAAGCGGTCTTCACGGACCTCTAGGTTGCGACCCTGCCAATCGTAGCCGTTGAATTGGGTAATGGCGTTGCGAGCATCCTCGGGAGTCTCGAAAGCAACAACACCGGAGCCCTTGGGGCGGCCATCGGGGGCGATGTGGACGTCAGCGCGGAGGACTTGACCGTTGTTAGCAGCCTGGCGGAAGAGGTCCTTCAGATCCTGCCAGCCGACGTTGTAAGGAAGCTAGAACTGAGTCAGTACACGCTATCGAGGTAAGCGGAGAGGAAGAAAAGGGTACGAACGTTGGCGACGTAGACCTGTCGTCCTGCACCACCTCCAGCAGCAGGGTTGCCGCCGAAGCCACCTCCAAAGCCGCCGCCGCGAGGCATTCCACCGCCAAAGTCGCCGCGTCCGCCGCCGGGGGCGCTGAATCGAGGCTCGGCCTCTCGGTCTTCGCGAACGTATACGAGTCGGCCCATGAGGTTCTGGTTGCTGAGCGATGCAACAGCGTTCTGCGCCTGCTCCCGAGTGGCATATTCCACGATGCCACAGCCCTACACCCAAGCAAAAGCCAGTCAACCTCCATCCTTCTCACGATCAAGACAAGCCATCATCCTTTACCTTTGACATTCCGTTCGGCAGCAGCAAGACGTCTGCGAAGAGGACCTCGCCAGCTATTTCCGCATTAGCCCAGCTCTTGACGCGGCGCAGCGCATGCCGTACCTTGGCGCATAAAGTCCTTCAGGTGGTGCCACTTGACATCGTAGGACAGGTTGCCGACGTAGACACGGCGATCTTGCTGCGAAGAATCCCTAATACTCTGCATCATTTCACCCTTGTTCTCGACAGGTCGCGATGAAGCTCCTCGGCCAGCACCGTACGATTGGTAGCCTCCTGCACCTTGCGCACCACTTTGGGGGGAGCGCGAGCGGCGTTCAGTGCGGCGGTAGTCCTCGCGACTGCGTGAGCGGCTACGGGGCGAGTAGGAGCGTCTGGAGCGTCGCGGTGAGCGAGATCGTCGACGGGGAGAGCGGTCGCGCTGGTCATAGTTGTCAGTTTCGTACGACATGATTGCAAAGTACACGCAATGTGTCGAGGCGACGAAGAGGTTCTGGGAGGTTCGGCGATGGCGAGCAGGTGCGGGCTCGCGTGGGTGATGGGGTTGAGGAGAGGTTGCGCGAGCGGGTGAGGGCAACCAGCTCGGAGCTTGGGCAACGACAATCCGCCCGGGCGGCAGTTGCCGGCAGCGACAGTCACGTGACGGACCACCACCCAGGCGTGAGCAATGAGCGAGGAAATGAAGGGTGCTGGCTGCCTTGGAGGGGCTCATAGGTAGCTAACACCGGTCCCCTCACCATTGCTCACGCTTACGGAGGCCCATCCAGCACTGGAACAGCCTTGCCATTCACCTGACCTGCGCCTGGCAGCGGGAAACAGAAAGAAGAAACATGAGTACTCACTCGGTCGCTTGGACGATAGTTATCTCCTGCAGAGTCTGGTAGGGAGAGGTCAGCAGGCAACGTGTTGGGTCGTGAGAGAACGCAGAACCGTGATGGCGCGGAGGATGGCAAAAGCTTTGGGAAGCCAGGGAGGGGAAGTTACGGCTGCGTATATAAGAGGGGCCCACTTACCCATCCTGTGTATTAGAAGTAGCTACCGGTGACACTTGCTAAAAGGCCGGCTTCCCTGCCAGCTCGAGGGCCAAGTGGTGCAGATATCACGCTGCAGAGAAATTGCCCTTCTTCCGTCCACGCCTCAATGATGACGCTGTATGGGTCCTCGACAGTGCAAGCCTCCCCACGGCACAGCACCCACGCAGCCAATCGCGTCGCAGAGGCGCCCACCGAAGGCCTGAGGGACGTCCCGCCCGGCTGGGTTGGTCGACGGAGGTTGAGGTTGCAAGACCGATCGGGAGCGCGTCGGTAAGCCTGGGATATAGCTGAACCTGTCGTGAACTGCCAGCTGTGGTCGATGTCACGCTATCCCACCTGATGAGTCTGGGTTTTTTCGGTTTCGTGGGCAAGGAAAAGCGCGGCAGATGTCATGCAAGCAAACACCTTGATGGGTGGATTGATTGTGATGGAGGGCTGTGTGTGGGTCTGTGGAGTCGTTCGGTCGCTGGTCGTGCCTTCCCCCACCATCTCGGAGGCCGTGCGCTCCTGCGGGAGCGGGTTCCTTAGCCGCGGCTTCTGTCTTCCATTCCACTATTTACTCCGCGTGGCTTCGCTGTTCAAACGCTCCGGAAATCCACATTACCTCCTCGATTCAATCGCGAGCCGATCAAAGTTAGCCGGTGGTACGGCTGCCAGTAAGCACAATTAGGCCACCACAGGCCTGGACCCCTAGCCGTGTGCACTGTTACATCGTCAGATCTCATCATCGATTTGGCCCAAATCGTAACACCAACATGCACTCTCTACCCGTCCTTGTATGACCGGTTCTCCCGGTCTGTACATCATCGCTGGTTGCACAGTGCGGGCCTGGACTTCGATTAACTGCACCCTGGTTTCCGTTGAGGCATATACGTATACTTCAGAGACACGTAAGCTGGCCGGTCAATTAGAGTGCAAAAGGCCACCTGCTGCCACTTTAGAAACACCATGTTCGTCAGCTTGCCTTATCTGCTTCTCAACACGAGCAATCAATCGCCTTCAACACGCAATCTGCTTGCTAGTCGCGGACAGGTGCGGAGATCTCTCTCTTCCTCCACCTCTCCGCGGAACGACATGAGCTGGCCAAGCTCTTTAACCTATTCCAGTTTTGGATGTGCATACTTAGGGTACGCTCACAGCTCTGGCACGGATTAAATGGGGAATTTTCCACAAACGCATTGAACATGCTACAATGCGATTCGGCAATAGGGCTAACGGGTAGGCGACGTCATCAGGACAAAAGCCGAGGTTCCCCACAGATTGACATCTCGATGCATCTCAAGTTCATCCATCGATCAAGCTGCATGTTTACTCTGCATCCTTACGTATCCAATATAACAGCAGCCCCAAGAATACATTGCTTGGAAGTCTCGTGACCACAGCATTTCTGCTATCGAAGTCAATATGCCTACCAAATCACCGTTTCCCGATGTGGACATTCCGGCCATTGACCTCTGGGGTCTAATGTTCGATCGCAAAGACCGCGACTTCCCCGACGACAAAGTCATATATCGCGCCATCAACTCCGACCGAAAGTACACATTCGCCGATGTAAAAAGCAACGCGACATTATTCGGTGAAGGACTCCGGAATCTCTGGGATTGGCAAAAGAATGACGTGCTTGCGTTGTATGCGCCAAACGATATTGACGTACCGCCAGTCATCTATGGAACCTTTTTTGCTGGTGGCATTGTCACGCCTGCAAATCCGGGGTATTCAAAGGATGAGCTAGCCTACCAGCTTGAGAATTCGGGGGCTAAAGCGCTTGTCACGACAAAGGCATTCCTGGACACCGCGTTAAAAGCTGCGGAGAAGGTTGGAATCGCAAGTGATAGGGTGATCTTACTGGGTGCCGAGAAAGACGAGACACATCGATGCAAACACTGGACTAGCATCAGGAAGACATCAGGCGCATTGCGGTATCGCAGGAGACGGGCGGATCCTGAAGACCTGTCATTCCTGGCGTATAGTTCTGGAACTACTGGATTACCGAAAGGCGTTATGCTCAGTCATCGCAACATCGTCGCCGATCTACTTCTTTGCAAGGGCGCTGTGGGAAACTGGTACTCATCTGCAAACGACAAGTTCTTGGGAGTTTTGCCATTCTTCCACATTTACGGTCTTACCGGCTTGGTACACCAGACACTCCATCGCGGTATCGAGCTCGTGGTGATGCCTGCTTTCGACATGGAAACCTTCCTGGGGACAATACAAGAACACAAGATTACCTTCATCTACGTTGCACCTCCAGTCATTGTACGCTTGTCAAGAGATAAGATGGTGGACAAGTACGATCTCTCGTCAGTCAAGATGATCACCAGTGGCGCGGCTCCTCTCACCAAAGAGCTAGTCGATACTGTGCATAAACGACTGAACCTCAAGATCAACCAAGCATACGGGCTAAGTGAAACAAGTCCCATGACACACACTCAGGTATA